AATTTGGTATTTGCGTTTTCGCAGAATTCCAGTTAACGTCGTGTAATTGCAATTCATAAAGTTATGAAATCTCGTTTCGCGAACTTCAGGTCTCACGAGTGAAAAGGAAACATGCATCTTCAGAAAGATGCTCGATTTGCATGGGAGATTCTACATATTTGTAAAGTTTCATGCTCTACGGGTGTGAATTTTCATTTAAATTTGTGCTTCGTGGAAAATGAGAAATTTCTCTTCTTTAAGTGTCATTTCGAATAATTTGATCACTATTGTTAAAAAAATTCACTAAATTGGAGTCTAACTCTTTATCACTCGATCTGTTTAATCCTTTCAGTGCAGTTTTCGTAATATTTTCTCAATGGAATAAAGAACGCGATTGAATTTGAAATTTCTCATCAAATTTCCACGGTCTTAACTACGATATCGCTTGTCACAAAACGCTTATCTCTGAAATTTAATTTCCCAGTCGGTCGATCTTTAAGTGTTTTTAAGAGATCCTCATTGACTTCTTCGGTAACTCTCCGTTCTAAGGGTGGTTTAACGAGGGGGCAACAATTTTCTGAGGTTTAACGAACGCGAGTCGAGTGTTTGAACTTGATCGCTTAATTGCACGCAAATCGCGTTGAACAGCACTTGGAATCTTTCTCAGAAAATATCAGACATTTCGAGAAACTTATTAATCGACTATCCTTGCGAAGAAAAGTTAAAGGTGTTCGAATAATTCATTCCTCGAGAGTGAAAATAAGTGCCCGTGATATGTAAATATTGTACTATGATTGCACAAATATTAACAATATTTTGATTTTTCAAAAGTGAATCGAAACTTAATAATTAACTATAATTTCTGAAATTTTTCGCTAAATAGGATAATTTTGGATGCCAATAAATCAGTCAAATGTTCAAATCTGGCAAATTCTTTCAGCTAGCTTAAACAAAAATCGCAATTTAACGAAACACTGTTACTGCTCTATAAAACGCATACATATTGATATCGCGAACAAGTGCGGAGCTAATTTAATATAATTGTTGACCTCAGAGGTTTATCTGTTGCAACGCGAGTCGCGCAGCGTGTGGCAGTTTTGAAAACAGCTGCAATTTTAAATGACACGAAAAGTTACCCTGTTCCGCCCTATTAATTCTTATTTTCCGCGTGTACTCATTAAGCTTGTTAAAATATGTGGCACGTTTCTGTCACATATTAAATCCACCGGCCTGACAGTCGAACTAGCACCGAGTTTCCAGTTAACCTGGCTGCCTAGACATTCTGGTAAAATGTGGACAATATAAATTGCGAATGAGGACAGCGTTAACCCTTTCATTGCTATCGGCGATCATAGCTGTTTTGAAAATTTGCTGGTATTGGAGCATTTTGATCTTAATTTAATACTTCATTTTTGTAGTCGTTTTGAGAATTTTTTGGCACTGTAGCGTTGGAGAGTTTTTGGTGCATTTCGATCTTAATTTGATACTTCATTTTTATAGGAATTTTGAAAATTTTCTGGCACTAGAGTTTTGCAGAGTTTTTGGTGCATTTCAATCTTAATTTAATAGACCGAATTTTAAAACGATATGAGCAGTATTTTAAGTGCTCGCTATCTCCTTCTCAATAATGATTGACGTATCATAATCTAATCCTTGTGTCTAAAGACTGTCACCAATATGGAATGAATAATTTAGTAACGAACTTAGAGAGACCAGTATTGAGCGATACTTCATCGTTCTGTCTACCTAACCGTTGACAGACGGATCACTTTGCGTGATGTAGTCGCAGGTGTCATGGAACACACCCGAAAAATTGTGGTCTTGACACGATTGGATAATGCGTGACTCACATTTATTTTAGGGAAGTGAAAAATATAAAAGAACAAAAGCTCATATCGTGATGAAACAGGTATTCGAGCTTTTAGTGTTCGTATTAACCCCTTTGCATCTATGGACGAGATAACTCGCATGTTTTTCCATTTGGACACGAGATATTTCGCATCTTCCAACATTTTTATTTAATTTCGCAATTTAAATTTCGTATCAATTAATTCTTACAATACTTCCTAAGTACCCCATCATTTTACATTATTTTATCCACTATCTTTATAATAAATATACTCCACATTGACAAAAGAGGATACTCTAATTTGCCACATAATCTGCTTCTTCACAAACTGCACAGAAATCTTCTTATTCTTCACTAATTCGTCTTTGATCATTAAGCTTTCCACCTTTGCAATTTTCGCCAAAAGAAAGCATTGAAAGTGAAACGAAAGCTTACAAAGCGAGCAGAAAAAAATATCGCATCTTTGTGACGCGTCAGATTAAAGAAGACGAATCTGTGCCTTTGCCAGACAAAATAGCGTACTCTCCTACGAAAGATTAAAAGGCGATTCGATCTATGTGCGGTCAGTTAACGGGGACAAGTTTTCAACGGTAGTTGAACACATTTAATTTGCGACCTCACTTCAGTTTACTTTAATTTGCGGTTCGCGAGAACCGTTTCACGCGTGAATACAACCCTGTCAGCAGAAACGATGAATTTTCGAGCGAGCCTCGCCGATGGAAATTCGATTTTCCAATGGTAATTCGCGTGATTCCCCCGACACAACGTACGCGAAATTGGCCGTACTTGAAATTAATAAGTGGCGGTTTCGATCGGTGATGCGTTGTTGACACGTTGTACACTCGTTTGAAATAATTTTACATTAAAAAGTTAATTAAAAACGCGAACTTCTGCTTCGGAAGGAAAAGTAGAAATCTTCATTACCTTGTACAGATTGAAAATGTAATGAGTGCTAAATATTGCCTAGAAAAACATTGTGGAAAATTAAATATACGTTGATTGCAGATATTTACACTAAATTATATTAATTTTTAGTAACAGCGTATTTTACTCACCTCACATTTAAATTTTCCTTTACTATATTTTTTCTATCTCCTGAAAATTATGTCTCATCGTCTGTTTGTTTATTAATGAGCACATAAAATAAGAACCTAATTCTCTGTAATAATGAAACTTTCGATTGACATGAATTCGACTAAAATGACTAAATAATTCGATGCAACAAGCATAAAAACTTTAGTAAGTAATCACAGAAGTGTGTGTGCTATGGTAGGTATTTAACAAAAACTGAAGAATGTCAATGAAACAAAGTACTCACTTTGGATACGGAAGGATCGTCTGCAAGGTAATTTTGCAAGCGTAAACGCATACCTATACAAAATATCACTGAATAAAGTAAAATACAAACAATTCGTATAATAAATTTTATTAAACAGGATACTTGACAGTTTTGTATCAAAAAAAATCTGCGAGAATTATATGGTATAGTTCGAAAATTGCTACGGTTTTGTAATTGAGAATTTCTAATAAAATCGTAAAAATGACTCCAATATCTATTACAGACATTTCTCTATACGATGATTATATCACATTTCTATGTGTTTCAATATTTATTGTACTCTAATATTAATCGTCGAGTATAATTATTGAGCAAGAAACATTGCAGTCTCGATATTCGTACTATAAAACGTATTATATTATGCTTTCCCGAATTTTCAACGAACCTATACACTCGAAAAACATAGCGACACCAGTCAAAGTTTCCCACACATACGAAAATTCCGATATACCTATTGTTAAAGCAATTTAAATACCTACATATCAAATTAAATTAACAATTTCTATCTCTACATCAGTTCGTATTGTTAAAACATGATATGACGTTCTGCAAATAATTGTTTTCGATGTGATTAAAAAAAAAAGAAGAAGAAACTAAATTCGACACAAAATTTCAGAGACGTACAATAAAAACTGTACAATTATGGACAAAATTCTAGCACAGCAGGATCCCGCGTAACGCGATCAAAAAATCGCCACGAACTCTGAAGCAGATGTTCGATCATTTCAAATCGAAGAAAATCCGCCAATGTTCAATTATTTAAACGAAACAAACTTCAATCGACGAAGAAACTGCACCAGCGCTAAAAAGAAAAACGTTATCAGTGGAACTTAATTTGAATTTCCCGCGTTACAGAGGCTCCTACTGTCCAGCATTAATCTCCGCAATTCTCACAGCAACAGAGTTGCGAATCTAAGTGGATGGTTTGAATATAAGTAACACACGTACGGTTGATCAGAGCAAACCATATATTTATTGAAATTCGAAGATACGGATCAGCAGCAGTTCGATGACAGATAAAAGAGTATCGAGAGTCACGGGGCTATTCCTCCCAGGGAATGAATTATATGAAAATAAAAAAAAGGACGTGTCGCTGTAGGAACAACGGATTATTTTTATCGAAGTGGGGGGAGAGACAGTGGCAACAGCTTTTTTCTTTTTCTTTCTTTTCTCCGCATTGCTTCTACAGACTGCGAGCTATACACGTGCGTATATGTGAACAAATTGTCTGGTATAGTGACGTCCGAGTCACGGAGATATGTTCTGGATCACGCGACCGTTTAATCTTCGCTGTATTCGAACGGTTCTGGGGGTTCCGCTTCCTGTTCCTCCTCCGGATGGGGTCCGTAAGCTGAAACATAACGGTGACAATCGAACTCGACGTAGTAATAACTCCGTTTGAAAAACGGTCTAGTTTAACAAGCGCGACAATGATCAAGTAATTGTGATGGTATAGAGTGTTGGCTCTTGGAACTGGAATTGTCGTCGAAAAAGTGTTAGTTTCAGTTGGAGGAACATTGAGAATTCGTCAATTTTGGGAGAGTGTTACTGGACGAGGTCGGAGAAATTTTGATTATTTTTTTTTATTGTATTTCTACATTTCAAGTGAATAATTCCATAAACTGGGAGAGAGAATAGATAAGGATTTTTATGAGGTCGTTCAGATAATAGGGAAATGGACGAATGTAGCGTGATCTGTGTGATTGCTGATACTTTAAGCGAAGTATTAGATAAATCGCTTGTGATTTTAAATTCGCCGCTTGAATGAAAAGTTTGGACGAATATTGTGATCGTTTACTAATTATTCTTAACTAAACACAGAGATAACAGATCACCGTTGGAAGTACCGATTAATTTTCTTTGTCATTAACGTTCTAACTAATCCTTTTTACCATTTTAAATTGTGACTGCATAGTATAACAATCAATTGATTATTTTCAATTATTTCTGCTACATTCTTTTTACCGTTGTTTCTACTCTTACTACTTGACGATGTATCTTAACAATTCTTGCAACAAACACAAATGCTCGTCTCGTAACTTCAATAAAATTCTATCATCAACGCTCTCAACAACCCGACTTCCTTCGTTCATAAGAAGAAAAATTTAGGTTGATCTTTTTACCTTTTCGTAAGGGAAGCAAGAATAAATATCAAAAATTTCCTGGTGATAATGTCACAGCTGAACAATACAGTGCAACGGTACAACAATAAATAAAGAAAATATAGATAAAAAATAAATAAATAAACGAATACGTAACTTCCAAGTCATATGGCGTTAAAAAGGGTTAATCGTTAATGAGGAAATGTTAAAAAACGAATCGACTTACCGGCAACTGGCTCTACCAGCTCTTCCTCTGTGTCGGACTTAATGTGCTTCACCATGACAATGCCTCCAATCTGGATATCTTTGACAGGTACGTAATGGCTACCCTCCACGAGCTGTATCACCTTCAATTGCTGTCTCAGCACGCGAGCTGGATTCTGAAGAATCTCGAAGTTCGGTTCAGCTTCTTTCTTCTTCTCCTCCGTCTTCTCACCCTCGTCCTTGCTCTTCTTCTCCACTTTCGTATCCTTCACCTCTTTCACCTCTTTCACCTCTTTCACCTCCTTCACCTCCTTCACCTCCTTCACCTCCTTCACCTCCTTCACCTCCTTCACCTCTTTCACTTCCTTCTCCTCCTTCTCCTTTTTCTTCTCTTCTTTCTCCTTGGATGCCATCTCGACGACTTCTTTCGTCGTCTCTGGCGGGTCCTGCGATTAGAAATTAAAGGGGAATGGAAAGTGTGGTTTGTCCCTCCCACTGTGTGCGTAATTACCATATTAAACGAATGACGACGAAAGATAATCAGATACAGAGTGGATCAAAGTGTATCGCGACTGAAGTTACTCGAACAGAATGGAAATTCGGCAGAATTCGAAAAATCGCCGAAGTCTGAATTGAGAAATTATGAGATTCACTTGGCAGCGAGAGCTATTGGCGCAGTCGATAAATTTAAATGCACATAAAACTGTCTTATAATTTTCAATCTTTGTATGCTACACTTAAGATTATGTCAAAGCAAGTACAGATTACTTTTAATCACGAAAAGAAACACTGCAACCTAATTTAAGACCTGCAGGTCCCCTTTACCTGTTAGAAAAGCAACGTCTCACACAAATTAGGGAAGAGATCAATTTTAGTTTCCATGCCTGATGATGCGGTAATTTATTTTAGAAATTTTTTCTTCTACTAACCACTTCCATTTTCTCGTGAGAATCACGAGCACGCCTCTCTGATTCACGTCTACGCGCCCTCGCGGCGATACTGAGGACAGCAGTCGTGATCTTCTCCCTTTCTTCGCGCTTCTTTTCTTCCAAAGGCGCCGGATAAGCGTAGACACTTGGTCTGGCGTTCGAGCGAATTTCTAGCTTTGGCATCTTCAGTTGTGCATTCAGAGCGATTAAACATGTCGGAGTGAAGGCCAGGGCCAAACAGTGGGCTAGAGGGAACCAGTACCAATACTGGGTGAATACTAATGCACCAACCACTGCCAGCATGTTCGTGTGGCCTGTCCTCGATTGCAGTGACACTGTCACGTTACGACCACCTGGAATACATGTTTTAACGTTGCTGCGTGGAAGTGTGTAACGAATATTTAAACAATATTTCCGATAGTTTGTCAAACGCGGAATTAATCTTACTCGCTTTGAAATATGCTATCACATGCATAAAAATTACAGAAACGAGCCTTTTTCTATTTGTATCTAGTAACTGAAAATAAGGAATCATTGAGTTTGCAGTAAATTAAATTAACCCTCTATGGGCCCGTGTAACTTTCAAGTCACATACTAATATATCGATATTTTATTAAATAATTGAACTTTCTTCCACAAAATGGCATAAACGTCTTGTTGTACAATGTCTCCTTATTAACCAGTAACTTTCTTGATAACCGTTGTTACTTCAAAGTTACAATATGTATTCGTTATGATAAAATTGTCGAAACTGCTGAATTCACTGTTATTCTGTATTTATAGGTCGATAGTTGCTAATTTTACGTTACATAAATTCTTTTACAGTCAAGAAAAATATTCGGCCCATAGAGGGTTAAGGAAGGTCTTATCTTGGAAAAATTATTATTTTTAAATTGAGAATTTTGAGAATTGAATGGAATTATGATATGTGAGAAGTTAGAAATGACTACGAAATGATATACAAATACAGCAGAAATCGATACTTTGTATTTTGCAATATTTACGAATAAACTGAAAACAATATTTGTACAATTCTGACAATTTGCACAATTGCCCCCTTTTTTTCTAATCCACTGCCTATCACATTGTGAATAATACGGTGGAAATACTATAAAAATGATAAAAATATCAGTTTATCAGCTACGAAAACGAGTCGAACAGTACGACACAAGGTCTATATACCTCGCACTACAGCGAACGCGTGTTAAAGGGACAGGTTAACGACACCCCAGGAGTTACGTACTCACCGGCATCGATGATACCCTGCGCTAGAATGGCGCCGAATTTCGCCATTACGTCCTCGTGTTTGTCCACCACGACCTTCGCGTACAATGCCCTGAAGTCTTTGACACGGGGACAGGTCGCCTCGGTTTGTTGGATCAGGATCATTGCGGAGGCGATCAGGGCACCTTGACGAACAAAGTTCACCGAGTCGTTTGTCATTGGATCCAGTAAAGCTATCGCCTCTTTCAAACCGGTGCCGGCACAAGCAATTCCCAGAGCCATTGCTGCACCGTACCTTACGTGAGGATTATAACTTTCTGCTAATAGAGAAACCACGCTGGGACATTGTTCCGGGGTTCTGGAACAAAAAAGAAGATCCTTGTTAGCTCGACAGTGTCTATAGGATGATTTATCGTTTACGACAAAGATGCAGAGCAAAGAAAACATTGAACATAATACCCGCTGTTTGAAAATTGTACTTCAACGATCGAGTATATTGTTGGTATTAATAATTCGCACTTCGAGAATCTTTTGGTACTATCGATTTTAGGGTACTTTTGAAAATTAAGTTTTCCTTCGAAAAAGAAATATGGATTTTATAAATAATCTTGCAATGTTTAGGTGTGATGCAAATTACACATTAGGAAGGTTGCTGTATTGGCACCAGTGGAGTGTAAAGGGTTCGTATTTAAATTTGATGTAGAATGTGATAAGGTGAAATTAAATTTCGATTAATCCTTTGTTAATAATACACATATTTATAATATGTAATACTGAGATTAAGGAATGATAGATGTGCTACTGTTGTTACAGCAAATTCAATCTTAAACACTACTGTTTATGTTCATTACATTGTTAATTGAAATACTGGTATAATTTCGAATAAACGAATAAGAAAAAGATACCTGTCAATAACTAAGCACTATACTGAATTACTTAACTATGATAACACATATACAAAATTTTCCCATTTATGTATCTAACCAAAACAGTAATGAAAACAAACTAAAAACTTAAAAATTACAGCAATAATTTCACTTTCTCAATTTTATCCCTATACATAATACTTCAAACGACATATTTCTCACTTCCCTTTAATTTCCAACCTTCAACACACAACTACCCCCACTTTTTATTTCTACACGTAATTCAATCAATCAACCCTCACGATTCTACCAATTAATCAAAAAATACACTTGCAAAAAAAAAATGCCTAAAATCGTAGAACACAAGTTGTCGATCGTTAAATTAGGCTTGATGGGTGTAAGCGTTAAAGATGGAGTCGGTCGCGGCGCTAAGTGGATAATCCTGTATGCTGGTGTTGCAGGAGAACGATTCGGTGTTGGTGGACGGTGCGTGCCAGATACCGGACCCTCTGTACAAGCTGATCGGCAGCATAATCTGCTTTTACATACCGCTGGGCGTGATGCTGCTTACATACGCATTGACGGTCAGACTGCTGGCGGAACAGCAACAGAATATTGGAGGAACTGCAGGTTGGTCCTCCGGATGGCTGGGTGACCCGCAGGGTTCACCCCATACTAGTGTATTATCAGGTACACTGACCCGCTACAGTCGCAACTGGATCCTCTCTGATGACATGCATCACGCCACCTCTATCTCATATCTATCTGTAATTTTCACTCCTAATCTTATCTTCCTAATTTCCTACGTAGTCTCTCGTGTCCTTCTGTTTCACTCTACGAACATTTTTCATTTCATCGGGGTACAGTAAATTCTCCACAAGTGTCAGTCCATAAGAAAGCTAAACCTGACACTTGTAGAGTCAGGGACTACGTTTTCGAGCCTCGCGCCCGCCTTTGTAGTTTGCCGAACGTAGACAAGGACAGCGAATAAAAGATAAGGATAAAACGTGAGTCGAGGCAACCAAGCGATTTAAATACCAACTTTTTCAATTTTACGTTCTTTTATCCCGAAATTTTTCTTAACATATTGATGAGATTTTTCTGATGAAAATTATATCGTGTTTGATATCATTTTCATCAGAAAATCTCACCAACATATTAAAAAAATTTCAGATGAAAAAAAGTAAAATTAAAGAAATTTATGAATTGTCGAGAAATCTCGTAAAAGAAACCGAGTGGTGTAGCGTTACACGCTTGACTGACAGCGAGCGAGATAACATAGGCGCAGCAATGACGCAGACCTAGGCGTAGGACCATCTATACAGACACTTGTAGAATCCAAACTGACTGACACTTGTGGAGAATTTACTGTATTTGTTTCGACAACGTGACAAAGCTTTACTTGTAACATTTTAGTAATGGATTTTTAATTAATAGCGACTTCTTTGAAGTTGTTAATTTATTGAAAAGGAGTGTTTAGAGAATACGTTACGACTTTTAAAATTTTCGGTATTTGTCAGGAAGTGATTTTGAAATTTTTAGAATTTTTGTTCGTCGGAGAAAATAGCGAGGTGATTTTGAAATTTTCAGAATTTTTGATCGTTCGAGAAAATAGGTGATTTTATTGCATAAAATAATTTTTTAAAATACTATACGAAATATCGAATTAATCGTACAGACTTCTATTTAAACAGCTTTTCTCAGTTGAACTTTTAAGATAAAGAAGGAACAGAATAATAATTACAGGATTTTTTTATAGTTCTTTAAACGAATGTAAATATAACACGAGAATCATTGTGATACAATAAAACAATCTACGCAAATAAACCTATCTAATAACTGTAATTAATTTGATCGAACCTCATTTTTCACGCGGATAGAAACAATTTGAGAAACCAAAAAATTAGCATGCCTATCGAACGAAAGTATACCGCGTGTCACGAAATACGGACAAATAAATAATCGAATAAACAGGAAAAATCGAACGTTTCATCGATATATCACACTTGGACAGATCAAGCACTGAAATTGCATTTCTTAACATTTCGTTTCCATTACTTGCGAGGAATGCTCTCTACTGAAAAGCCTCGTTGTCCAATTCTACAAAACCCAATAAAACTCGAAGATTGATTGATTTTATTTGATAGAAACAGCTTCGTTGTGGAGAAAAAAAAGAGAGGAAAACGATTCTCGCAACTTCTTTCAACGAACATCTGCATTCAGGAAAACCACTTGAAGCCTGTTTGTATGCACAAGATTGTTGCAACGAAGTCTCAGATTTTGTATTCGATCAATGGAAATATGTATCTTGATTAAGTGTTTCTGTTAAATTGGAGATAAACGTGGAATTGAGTTTGTAGTCGTTTTTAACTAAAAAATTAAAAATTCTACCTAACACTTTGGTTGTATTATCGCTGAAAGTACAGAAATGTAACATAAGTGTTCC